AATTTTACATTTCTTATTCGTTTCACCAAAGAAATATTAAATAAAACTCGGCATGATAGTTTTCATAAAGATAAACAACAGAGAGAAAATTTAATTTGTGATTATAACACACCACTTATTATTCCTTAAAGTGTATTAGTGACTAAGTGTAAAGGTTTTGTTGTGTGTGATTATCATTTAACAGAGTTATCTGATAACTCATGAGATCACGCATTCGAGAAAGTTCAAAGGAGTTATTAGAACCTTTTCTAGATTTATGTTGTAAGAAACAAGGCACCAAGATGAAATAGTATCAACTAAACATTTTATTAAACAAACTATTAAACAATACAGTCTGTTTATGAAATAAAAAACCTTGATAAAGTAACTCGTCGGAAAGGAAACTTTGACTTATAACCAAATTTATTAGCAAGGAAACTTTTTATCCTTGCACAACCAAAAACTTCTTCGAAATAATCACTGACATATGATTTAAGGAAAACATTATGTGTTACTGATGCTCAGTAACACCAATAAGCGTTCTGGACATAATATAAATCTTACAAATGCTCTCTCCCACCCATGATTCAGCGGTAAAACTTTGGGGTACAATCCCTGCTTTGTACACAGTACCTATACCCACATTGCAATTTTTTTTCGCTTAAACAAACAAATATAATATATTCTTTTGTATGAAGTGAAAGTCGCTAAAACATCAGTCAGTAGTAAAACAATTGGTTTTGGTTAAATTTGATGATTCTTTGCAAAAAAAAAAACAACAATAAGAGAGAATCCTCAATAGCCATAGCCGCGGCACTTAAAATTATTTTAGGCAGGGTTAGAGTAAATTAATCTGATACCTTTTTTTTTCTTTTTATTAGCTATATTTTTGTGTGCCAGCAATACCAAGCGTGGGACGCGCGTATACCCGATTTGATTTTATTACTCATCAGGATCTCTACCAGCCTACTCTGAAATTGAAATTCTTTTAGGTAGGATTAGAGTAAATTAATCTATGAGACATTGGGCGTGGTCAAATACATCAATCGAAAGGGTTTGGCCTTCTAAGTCCAAAACTGTAGTTAGATCTCAAATCGGTCAAGAGGTGACGGAGCTATGAGCTAAAAAGTTATACGTGATAAAAAAAAAAAACTCAGAGTCGTTCTATGAGCCGCTATGCAGCGGCTAATTACTTTGTCTAAAAGAAACTCTGAAAATACTTCGGCTAGTAATGAAACAGTTAATCTGAACATACTATAATGTATTTATTTTCTTTAAACGATGCTTTTTGCAACTGTATACAAATCGACCATGTATTTTTATCAGCTGGGATATCTACGGACGTATTTAACTTACACAAGCAAATCCCTTTGGAAGAAGATGATTGAACTGTATACAAATCGACCATGTATTTTTATCAGCTGGGATATCTACGGACGTATTTAACTTACACAAGCAAATCCCTTTGGAAGAAGATGATTCAAGTATGACCAAATTAACCATTTTAAATTTTTGACAGTTTTGGAAATTTTTTATATTTAATTTACACAACGAGGTTAATTGTTTTAAAAATTGCGATTAAGCCTTTCCCAACTTAATTATTTCATTACTTTAATTAGGGCATTTGCTGATTTAACTTACACAAGGAAAACCCTATTTTTTTCGAGGGAAACCTAATAAAGCCCCAGATAGTGATAGATTAAACTAACTAAACTGGGTATAGTGTTACTATGGTAATTTAGTTGTAGAACTATTCATATTCTAGCTAGTTGTAACGACTTTGTTACAAATAACATAGGTATTTCAGAATTAATTAATCGCTAATGTAAATAACAACATAATGCAAGTAGTACAATACGTAGTAACTAAAATACATTCTTTATTTAAGATAAACAACATTATCTATTATAACAGAAAGGGACGCAGATAAACGTTTCGGAATTCTACAGATTGAGTATCTAAAGCAAAAATATATAGAATTACACGATTCCTAAGTAGATAACTAAAATACATTGCTACATTAACGATAATTTTATCAAAACTAAAACATAAAATTATCGTTAATGTAGCAATGTAATTTAGTTATCTACTTAGGAATCGTGTAATTCTATATATTTTTGCTTTAGATACTCAAGATGGAATCTGTAGAATTCCGAAATGTTTATCTGCGTTCCGTTCTGCTCATTTATAGTATCGTTATCACTTTTATTGTCAAACATCGTTTTCCTTCGGAATTGCTAACATTATTTATTATTTATATATGTACTACATTATCACAATACCTCAAGGATAAACAATTAAACTTCATTAAAATATATCATTATATTTTTGCGCGTTAGATTGTGTACTTGATAAAATGTTTTTAAACTACGGCTAAGTAAATATTGAAAAAACATATTACGAACAAAGTGAACGACAAATAGAACCATAGCAGTTTTTAACCTTTCTTTTTTTTGACGTAAATGATTAGTTTCATATATATATAAGTAGAGAGGGGCTGAATTTTCGTGATTATATATTCAACCAATAACAACAAATTGATGAGACCCTCCAGGGATCTTTATTGGGATGTTGCTCATTAATAAAAGTGTATTATGAATGAATAATTTCGTTCTTGATTGCCAACAATCCCTACTGAAACGTCAAAGTGCCGTCTCCAGTTTTCTGTCGGGTTTTTTCAATGACGTCATTAGGAACTGTTTTCAGATCGTAGGCTTGTCCCAACTTGGCCATGAAATCTATGAACATGGTTGTTATATTCAGTTTCCATCCGTACTCACTAGTGGAATAGTCGTAAGGAAAAGCGTGATGATAGTTGTGGAAGCCTTCACCGAGAGCCCACCATGCCACATGCTTGTTTTCTCGGGCATCCATGAAACGATTGTACGGCCGGTTTCCCCAATAATGGGCTGCACTGTTTACTAACCACGTGCAGTGTAGTGTAATAACATAACGTAAGATTCCAGTGGTAAGAAAGGCAAACCACACTTTTTCACCCCATACCCAAACAGGTATCATAGTTGGGAGATAAAAGGTTAACAGAAGTACCAAAGGAATGTAAAACCTGTTTAAAGAAAAAACATATATTATATTGTGGTTCAAATAAACAGTCACTGGAATTTATTTTCTTTATAACACTTAGTAAAATTGAGAAGACACACTTCAATAATCAAGGATATCCAAAACACTGAATCTCTGAAATAACTCCTTAGAACTGTTATTATAAAAATATGTGTAATAATGATCAACACAACAAAGAAAAACTGCCCAATGATCAAAATACAACGGTTATGAAAATATTTCAAAGTAAAATGGATAAATTAAGCAGACGGTTTACATGCCTTGTAAGTGGATCTCAAGATAAATCAAGAATATAAATATCTCAATCACCATAAAAAAAAAAAATCAACACTGAACAGGCGGCAATTAGTTATTCATGTGTGGAAGCACTTGCATGGAAGGATGTACTGTGATTCAGTGAATAAAACGGCTAAAATTACCTAAGAAGTAAATTTTGGTGTACTCATTGGTCAGCACAGAAAGTAACATCTTGAACGAATCATGAATCAAATCTTCGGCTAAAACAGGGAATAATAAAAAATGTATACACCAATAAGTAATAAACAACATATGAATCAGAATAGCAGTTTCCCATGAACACCTTCCCTTTCGATGAAAAAACAACATATAAATCAGGCTAGCAGTGTCCTCTGAACCTCTGTCCTTTCGATAAAAAACAACGCATAGATTAGGATAGCAGTTTACGCAGAACCTCTTCCCTTACGATATGAAAACCAGCATATAAATTAGTATAGCAGTTTCCCATGAACACCTTCCCTTTCGATGAAAAAACAACATATAAATCAGGCTAGCAGTGTCCTCTGAACCTCTGTCCTTTCGATAAAAAACAACGCATAGATTAGGATAGCAGTATTCGCAGAACCTCTTCCCTTACGATATGAAAACCAGCATATAAATTAGTATAGCAGATTTCCATGAACACCTTCCCTTTTGATGAAAAACAACACATAAATTAGGATAGCAGTATACGCAGAACCTCTTCCCTTACGATATGGAAACTAGCATATAAATCAGAACATCTTCCCTTTCGACACTGAAGATATATCTATTATTATTAATGTTTGATTATCCTTGGATTTCAAGATGCGTATTGTATGTAAGATAATTTGTTTATATGTTAACGTTTGCAGATATAACAGCAATTCCTAGCGTTTATTCTTTTATTTTTTTGCCATTTTATGACTTTTTGCCATGATTAGTGTAATCTCGCTGCTCTGTTTTAAACCTGCAGAAGACATTCTTAATTAGTGAGTTGGGAAGAGAACACGCTGTCCGTTTTATTGTTGTTGTTATTATTGTTGTGCTTCATTTTGTATTAATTTTCAATTTTCAGCCAGAGTCTTACAAGCGCTTTGACCGTTCATAATATAATTTCATCAGGAATCACGGATATTTTGTTCATAAAAGAATTTAAAATAGGATTTTTGGTTCCCAAATTTTAAAGTTGATTTCTATTTCCACCTGTCTCCCAGTGGCACAGCGGTATGTCTGCGAACTTACAACGCTAGAAACCGGTTTTCGATACCCGTGGTGGGCAGAGCACAGATAGTCCGTTGTGTAGCATTGTGCTTAATTCCAAACAAACAAACAAACTATTCCCACAAATTTCTTTTTTCATCTCAATGATAAAGAGAAGCTTATTTTTTTATTTTATATAACTTATTTTGCCCGTTTTTTTTTTTTTTTTTTTTGTTGTTGTTTTCTTTGGTGGGGAGACGTGAAGAAAGTATCACTTTCACTCAGGTTTCCCTTTTATTTCAGTTTTGGGCCAATAGGAGATAAATAGAACATAATCAGTGGCGTTTGACAGCTCTAAAGGACACTTCATATTTAAATTAAATATGTTTTTAGTCATATTTCTCTCCGTTAATGCAGACGGGAGGGAGAGTGTCTGACTAAAGCTTGGTGTTTTTCATGTAATGCTACATTCGTTTTGTTTGAGCAATGGTAAGGGAGGCAATTTGTGCTTAACAATTGTAAGAACTTATGAGTAAATGCAAAGAAACATTTTTAATAATATGTCAACTACACTATATCTTACATATCCAGTGCCGACGAGGCCTATCACCTGACATCAAGGATCGTCAGACTGGATGGGATTTTACTGACAACAACTAATATGGTCTAAACTATATTAAATAAGTAAATTACAAATTTTACCAATTTTAATTAAGTCATTGCAAAACATAATTAAGATAAAAATTGATAACAAAATGTTATTTATGTTATTTTTAACACTAATTATTTATCCAGCTCTGTCTAGCGAAGTTTGGAAGAGTTGAGTATAAAAACTGAGGTACAGGCTTTCTTCACATGTGCGCTATACATATTAACTCATATGGGTGCGGTAACTATCCAATATCAAGGAAAACTTGCAAAGAAAAAAAAACACAAAATGCTCTGAAAAAGTTGATGATATCGTCGTTCTGCTAAAATTAATATTTTCTTATTTTGATAATTATCAAAAGAGCAGAACTGGGTATGCAATTTCCCGCTCAAACAATTAGTGATATTATTGTTATTATTACTTGAATTAACTTTACAAGCATTCAGAAGAACTGGTGAACCAGTAAACTATTATTCCTGATTAAGGAGCAGGTTAAGCAACCTCAACGTCAACAAAAGTACATTACATTAGTAATTCTAAAAACATTTGAATGAAATAATATGTAATAATATGTCAACCACACCATATCTACTATATCCACTAAAACGCTGAATCCATAATTTTTACATAACGTACTGACTTTTGATGGCACTACAGTACGGTAGATAATGTCAAGTTCATATAATCATAATTATTCTATCATGTGCCTTGCTTCTACATTTCCCATTTTTGTCTTTCCCGTACATAATACCACAATAACACAGCAAGTGATTTGTTGTGAGTTTTGTAAAACTCCAACAGATGAGTGAACTAGATTCTAAGAGGGAATAAAACAATCATTATAGGACAAGGTAAAAATCTAAACCATACTAAGCCATCCAAGTAAACATAAATCTGCGCTATACCATGATGAACAAAGCAATCAGGAACCAAATATTAGTGCATGAAAATGATGCCCAAATATTTAAAAAATGGGAGATGAAATGGAAAATATTTTGTTTATAGAAAGATAGCTTTTACTGTAATATAAAATATTCATACAATAAAAAAGTATAAACACTGTGCTATTTTCTCACCAGAGAACATTTCCCAAAGAAGATCTTAACAAAAGTATTTGTATTAATTACCTTTTTTGAAATCTTACTACAGGATCTTGCAAGATGTCACTACAGTCGACTGTCTTTCCTTTCTCTCTAACGTCAGGATGCTTCTTATGCATTAGCCACCCCATGTGGGCAAAAAAGAATCCCCGATTGACATTGTGTGGATCAGCGTCTGTTTCTGTAAATTTATGGTGAACACGATGATCTCTTGACCATTCGTAAATATCATTCTGGAAGAAGCAGAAGTGTGACAGTTCTTCTGTAACGATATTAATTGTGTGAGGACATCTACATGTTTTATTATGAACATTAAATATTGTTGTTGTTTTGGAAGTTAAGCACAAAGCTTAAGCAGACATACCGTTGTGCCACTGGGGGGGGGGGCAACATTAAATATTTAAAAGGCATTTTTGTGGGATACATATTCAATGAAAAAACTAAAAGTACCTGAGTATTTATAATAATATTTATATTCGTATTATAAATCATTGTTAAAAATTGAAGCTAAATAGGCAACAGTTAAATGGTATCATAAATAAATATATTACAAATAGTAATCGAATGATTATGTGTGATAAAAAATGGCTGAATAGATATATGTAGTTATATTTGTTCAGCAACGTGTCTGTGATTCAAAGGTAACGTTGTGGTGTGAGATTAGATTTATAGTGAAATCAAACACTTTAGATTTTAACTTAGCATTGCTTTTCTAAAGATATCAGAAGCTATAATTTAAAGTCAAAACCAAAAGAGGAAAAAAAAAGAAATTAGGCTGAACTTTGATGTCCTGAATTTCAATTACAGTAAGAAAAATAGAAAACTTTTAAAACGTTATAATTAAACTAAAATATAGATTGTAAATTTAGCTTTAACATATACATTTTACGGTTTCTTTAAATATAAGAAACACTAACCTGACAAGCTATACAATTGAAAACCATTAAAAGTATCCTCAGAGGAAGTTTAGCTTTGTATGCTCTATGACACCAAAGACGGTGTGCACCTGCTGTTACTCCAAGACCTGAACAATACGAGTATACCACACCTAATAGGGAATAGAGAGTTATCTCAATATTAACTTATCATGTACAAGTATTGAATGCTTACAGATAATATACATAATTTCAAACTTTAGTGTCTGGGCTGACCAAAACATCTAGTATGAGTATACATGAATACACCGGATACAATAAAGTGAATGTGGATAGGGAGATCATTTCTGGCTTTTTTTCCTCCTTTTTTTTCACAATCTAAAAAATGGACGTTCCTCAAGTCTCAGACAGCGTAATATAAATTACCACGTGACTAAGAATTATAGCTATTTTGCTCATTCATTTATTTCTCTTTTCCAGGCTGCAAACTCCCTCTCTCAAAATCATGCAGGTTTTGACAACTGGCACACAGTTCAACACTAATAACTCTTTATCTTTATTCGCTTACTTTCCTTGTAAAGATTGCTGGATGAGTCAGTTTACATACTTAAGTGATGACCAGATTATCGATGGATAATAAAGTGATATATACATGTTCTGGAAAGCTTATTCAAAAATATTTTCTTTATTAATTTCAAAATGGCTAGAAAACTACGTTATTCAAGATGAATTGTTAAAGTTTTTATAGAACTAACGTAAATATTATTGCGTGTCATCTGTGTTATGAAGTTAAGTGTAAGGAACATCAGTTGGGATTTAAAGATGTAAGAAAACTGCCCAAAATTTGTACAGTCCTTAAAAGATTAGGGGATTACAGCACTCTTCGCTGTTAATAAATTATTAGAGGTAGCAGCCGCCTATCTTGTTCACCAATTTGGAGACAACGTTATAATCAAAACAGGTATACAAGGTCAGAAAGAAAGAAACAGAAAAACAGGAGATTAACTAAAAAAAGACTAGGAGGTGTAAGAGAGAACAAACAGAGAGAGAGACGAAGGAAGAAATATCGTGATAACATTGAGGAACAAATCCTATTTCTAAATCGTTGTGCTATTTATTATAGTATTGAGCAGAAATTTGTATAATTCAATGTCTAGTAGGAATAAGTACCATCTAAGTAACGTTGGTGAACATAAGGGAGGGCGAAGTGCGTGAACAGTACGATCGTAACTAAAGAGCTTCAGCGGGATCGATCCAAATAAATCAGAAATATTCGAATTTTAGAAAAAGAATTTACTGCTTTTTTTAAAAAAACAATGAAATGATATAATTTTAACACTTTTTATCATATTGTATCAATAATATATATTTTACAAATATACAAGTATTTTCTTGTTTGCTTTAGAACAAAGCCACATTGAGATATCTTCTGTGTCCAACACGTTGTAAGTCCATAAATTTACTGCTATCACAATTTCAATGTTTAAATCATTTTCGTGTATAAAATTCATTTTTTGTTCTGTGATGATTCTTTGTAAAATAGCTTGTGGACTATGATATCATTTTGGTGACATAAAACACATAGCAAGGAAGGAATGACTTACCGAATACCCAAGGACGCCATGTTCTGTTTAAAACTAGGATAAAACCAGCAAAGGCTGCAGTATGTAGCACAGTAAAAATCCAAACGTTTGTCCACACAATTTCCAAGTGACGATGCTTTTCTCGCTTTTGAGGAACATTTAGAGTGTCTGGTGAATTGTTTCCCGATTTCGGAGCCATACTGTTCAGAAATAAGCTTTTTGTCGTAATTGAAATACACTAAACTAATGGTGTATATTTATGTTTTATTACAAATAAATGTATAACATGAATACATTGGGATATCTACGTTATGCTTGTTAAATGCAAAGCACAGAGCTCAAAACATATTTTCATAAAATACCGTCATAGTCTGTAATGAACTATAAATATACAAATTTACGATTAAATTTAACTTTTTTTAAAATGAGAAACGTTAATAAATAACATAAGGGAAATTTTAAAAAATCTAACTATTGGCTTTAATTTCAAACGTCTTAGTAAAAGTAAAAGTACAAGTGCATTAACTGTGAGGCACATCAAATACTAGTAGTCCATCAAAATTAAACAAAAACGTTACTCAAGTTCAAACGCTAATCAATAATGATACAATGATGTCACTACTGACAAAAATGATGTCCCTTCTTTATCCAGTAGGTTACATTTGCCAATATTTTGTTTGTTTCTAACCAATTCTTATTAGGTTTCTTAAACATAAATTGAAGTTTTTAGTCATTATCCAACCTAAGTTACTTCAAACCCTTGTAAAAATTACGTTTTTCAACTTACTTCTCATCTCTCTAAAAGGGATATTTTTTCTCTTTCTGTGAGTGTTTGTTTACGTGCTTGCATTTTATTTAGCCATAGCCTTAAAGCCTTTCCAAGGCATTCCATCTTTAGTTAGGCCCGGCATGGCCAGGTGGCCGGAGCGCGGGTTCAAATCCCCATCGCACCAAAAATGCCCACCCTTTCAGCTGTGGGGGCGTTATAATGTGACGATCAATCCCACTATCCGTTGGTAAAAGAGTAGCCCAAGAGTTTGCGGTGGGTGATGACTAGCTGCCTTCCCTCTAGTCTTACACTGCTAAATTAGGGCTAGCGCAGATAGCCCTCGTGTAGCTTTGCGCGAAATTCAAAACAAACAAACCATCTTTAGCTATTCATGTTTATATCCTTAGATTTCATATTACAATTGTTCTTTTTGTGTTATTTTTAGGTAGTGAACGAATTGCAAATAGCGTTTTTCTAAACACCTTTCATAACAGCCAAATGTAACACATTGAGGATATATCCGCATATATGTTGCCCATACAACATATTGTTTTGGAAGTGTTATAGTTTTTTTATTGCAACTTAAAAAACTAGCTAGGGAATGTCGTTCTTCCTGTTCTAAAGCAATACAGTATGTAAATAGTGATTTCAAGTACCCATATACAAAATACTTTAATATGTACATATTTTAATGATGTATTTCAAAACTGTAAATTTTACAAATATTATATCATCATCGTGACGAAATATTATTGTTTGCTAGTTATTTTTCTTCAGTAATTATGCTGTCTTTCCTTAGTTTTAAGGATATATATAAATTACGTAATAACCTGTTTTCTTCCCTTTAATAAGACTTTCCTCATAGATACTTAACTGCGAAGGATCGTTCAGAAACTAATCTAAACATTTTCGTGTACGTTATCAGACGCAGAGCAAAAACTAGAAGAGTCAAAGCTGTTTCATGGCAGTCTTCTCTCTTGAATTGGTAATTGATTTTTCATTTTTAAAACTGGTTTCCTTTATAGAAACGAGCACGATTTTCTATGACAGAAAAAATTTCGATTCACGTATAGATTAGAAGTAATATTGAAAATTTTCAAAACTTATCAAATGAGATCATTGATTGTATTTCTGTGATAGGATACTTGTGACTATATGGCATGAAAAACATTTATTTAAAAAATAAAGCAAAATTATCATACTTACTTTATAGAAAAACGATAACAAAGATTTATCCTTAGTTATCCTTTATTAGATTTTGAAAATCTAATAATATCAAAGATATTTCCGATAAAAGGCCAGAGTCAAATTAGTTAAACTTTCTAAGTATTTTGCTTGTTTAAGTAAAGAAAGAAACTGATGTAGTATGTTAAAAACTATTTTACATTTCTTTAAAATATTGACCAGTTTTTCATGTAAATGATGGTTTATACTTAATAGGTACAATATCAGTGAAATTAAAGCTTTATAAATAATACAAGCAAACAACTATTCAATAGCTTCACAAATAAATATTTTCATCATTAATTCATGGGTAGGGGGGGGGGTACCATACATACTGCCTTGGGTATTTGGAAGAATATTGCTTACAAATGTGTAAAGTATGGTTGGAAATGTTGTCAGAAAAACTTCAGTACTGACTCTTGAAGAATATAAACATTTATATCTAAATTTTTATAATTATCTTATCCACTTTAATTACCGTTGAAAAATGGAATGGCAAAGTTTGTAAGTTTAAATTATCTCATGAATCGATACCCTTGCCTTGGGTACGTACGTGGAAAGTCTTTGGTATTTTAAAATATTTTTAATGAAATATTAATAATTAAAGCAGAAAAAAAAATTACATTTTTGAACGGAAACCCTTCAATTTAGACTTGTAAAGCATGGTAAAAAAAGGCACATTAATATATTTCAAGAACAGGGAGAAAAATCATTCACTTATATACATCCCATATTCGACTGAGTGTCAGATAATATGAGTATCATAAAGGCTTATAATCCATTAAACGTTCACAGATAAGAATGGATATCCGACATGATATTTCGTCTTCAATAACACAGTGTTTTTAGCGATAACTGTAGGAGCTTTTTATAAAGAAAGAGATAATAATGTGGCAAAATCTACTCTTTTAGGATTTCATTTGATAGCAAAATATTATAGGAAGATAGTTTCTGAAAACAAGTAAGATGTAGAGCAAAGCAATAATATCTCTGTGCATCTTCTAGAAAGTAAGATAATGATAAGGTATTTCTATCTTTTCAATATATCTATAAGATGTCCTGACATCACGTAGTTTGCTAGGCAGTACAGTCTTTGTGTAACTAAGGTACTATATATTTCAATCATGATAGCTTGAACGCTGCTTTTTACAACTTAATGCTCAAACACGGCTTATTTTGTTGATTTTTAATTTTCATCCACTTCTTAACAAGTATTTTCAGTACTTCGATTTCTTTTTTTTTTTTACAAGTATCCTTTGATCTGACCCTCCCTCTTTTCTTATTTCACAGTCTAATGATCGAAGAAATGTAT